ACTATATCTTTATTGAAGATATAGTTATCAACGAACACCATGTCACTGAAATCACGGGAGCTGTGGATGCATTTATTCCACCGAGAATGGTAGTATCCATTAGCTGAAAATAAATGTTAAAACAGCATTACATTTATGTCAGATGAACTCATGTCAACTATAGAAAAACAGAAGGACCTAGATACATTAGTTGGTTACAGTATTAGTGAACTGTCTTGTTTACTACTACTTCTACTAACAATAATAATTCATCATGAAGAATGTTACTGTCAATACATATCTACTCATTTTACATGACGCTTAATTTTATTTACCTGCTCCAGTGAATGCAGACAGCATCAGTATGAGATGAAAACACAAGACCTTCGGCATTGACATTTTCTCTCACTGTGACTGTCCCAACTGAAGAGGAGTCCTGCAATACTTTGTTCATGAGGTGAATATCTGAAACAACCAGCCAATCAGCCTCTGCACATACAAGTGTCAACTGTTGCTAAGCAGTATCCTGTTTTATTTTAGAGCTAAAGCCAGTTACACAATGACTGTTTTCTTCAAGCTTCTCTGCTCATTTTAAAGGTTTAATTCAACCATATTTTATCTTATTTTAAATATTTTAACCAAGTTCATAATGTATGTTTTAAAGTTGGTTGCTACAAATACTACCAATCTGACAAATCTCAACAGGAGCTTATTGAGAGCAACAATAATAATTGCCATCTCAATCATTTACATCAAAGTGTTTTGTTTTCTGCATTGTATTTATTATGTGTAAATTAAATTAAATAGGAGGTCACTGATTGTACTGATTGTAACAAGATCCATTTGTTTAGCATTCAGTACCTTTTCACCTTCCTGTATCTCATAGAATACAATAAAAAAAGCTTAAAGTAACAAAAGAAAATGTTATTGCTATAAATCACAAACTTGTCATTATTTTTCTTTTTTTTTTAAAAGATGGATTTAACAGGCTCGTTGCCAGTACATTCTTCTTTGTATGAAAGTAAGCAGCTTTAGTTTTTCTCAGCTGATTTATAAATTTCTATGAACTATGGTTCATTCTTTAAAAAAAAGTTAACACAGGCAATGAAACAGACTCTTAATTTTGCTGAAAGATTCCATTTCACTGCCTAATGACAGCTACAGATGCACAAATACAATGATGAAAATTCATGTTCGTCACAAAGTTTTTCACTGAGGAGTTATGTGAATATAGTGTTTTATACTGTACGCCAAGTGTCCTCTTTTGAAGTTTAGGACATTTAAAAAAAAAAATCTGTATATTTCAATACTCTATATTTCTGTATGTCAGTACTCTTCAATCCTACATATTTCTTCTCTTTCTACCCCCTTCACTCTTCTTCTCACCTCTTCTTCTGCTTTTTCCACCTCTGCTGACTTTACCACCTTTCACTCTTCCCTCCATTTCTTCCCCTTCTCATTCTTCTTCTTTCTCCACTTTCCATTAATGTTTGCTTGCATAGGGAATTTACAGTTGACCTCCCAAAACTCTCATAAACTTAACTAAAATTTAAATAGCTGTGTTAACAGTTTAGTGCATTTCCTTCATGTGCTGTGTGTATTACTAACACAACAGATTTCAATTTAATGGGTACATACCATGTGCAATTAAGAATATGACAAATACAAAGAATGGTTTGTTGTGTTAGGAGAAACGTGATTTGTGTGAAACCAATAATTATAATTTTTTTGGCTGTAAAACTGGAGATTTTTTCTGTGCAGTGTTTTGAGAAACTGATGTATGTAATTTGGAATGTTATTGAAATTAATAAAATCTTACTATATCTGTTTACGTTTTTAGCTGAATGTGATTAGAGAGCACTGAAGAGTTTGGAAAGAGGTAAAAAAAAAAACTGCACAGCACCTCTTCAAACGGTTAATGAATTCATTGGTTATTTTTCGTTATTATTTTATTAATGTCTTATTCACAAATAAAGGCCATGCCAAAACCATGAATGTTGAAGAATTATTTTATTGAATAGAATGTTAGGGATTAATAGGGAGAGGATGAAGGGGAAATAGGATGATAGTCAGTTTGATCTGGGTGTCTAGTGTTAGTGGCCCGGAGAAACTCAGGTGGGCTGGGTGGTTATCATCTCTGTTAAATGTAGGCCAAGTGATTACGACCCCCTGATGCAACCTGGAAGGGAAGAGTGGATGGGAAGGATGGCTGAATCGATGAGATGGAGGTGAAGGGTGGGTTCGGGAAAACGAGACAAACAGTTCTGTAAGGAGTGGCCTGATATAACATTTTTGGGAATTTAGGTGATTGGTTGAGACCTGGCCCAAACCTTAGTTAACTAGTTAACTCCCTTTATTATCACTATTATCGTCACTATTTTATACAGAAGATGAATGAAAGGATTTCAGCTATTTCAAGAGAAACTTAGCTTTCCTGTAGCTCAAACAGAAGAGCATGTTGCCAACAATGACAGAGTAAAGGGTTCGATTTGCAGGGAAAGCAAGAACTGATAATATTTGTTCCTTGAATGCAATATGTCACTTTGGATAAAAGCGGCTGCCAAAAGCATACATCTAGATATTGGCTCCAATATTTATGTAGGTCATTCTTAAATATAATTTTGTTTTTGATCCTCTGGTCTATTCTATTCTCGTCTGTTCCTCTGTCTTTCAACACATACAGCCATCTGTCTGTTGTTTTATGGACAGCCCCATCTAATAGGCTTTTGAGTGTACCTTGCCTTGGAGCAGTTATATAGAAGACAACACAATATAAAATCACAAGTGAAATCAAAATAGAGAATCTTTATTTGGAGTGTACGTCAGAAAACTTACAAGACCTTGTAAAATTGACTTCAAATTGATTACAACATTGACAGAAAATTCAAAATTTAAAAACAATTTCTACGTTATTTTTTAGCACACAGTAGCACGATTTTTAAGAATGCTATAATATTTGTGGGAAAAGACTTGAATTGATCCAGCAATGAAGCAATGAAGACTATGAGAGATCAAACAGAGAATAACTAACAGTTTATATCAAATAAAAAGTCCATTCTCCAGGTATCCCTCTGGATGAACTGAAAATGTGATGTATTAGCAAAAAGATAATCTACCATTTTAAGCCTTTTCTGTATGTGTTTCAAGCAAAGATGTTGCCTCATTGGTGCATTAATAAAAATATCAGGCATTATTAATGTTGTTAAAGATTACATTGAAGTTTATGTGTCAATGAATCTGTTTATATATAACACCTAAGATGTTTATTGTTACCAGTGTGATGAGTGTCAGAATAACGCACATATCACTGTTTTAAATTCCTCTGGTGTCAAGTGAAACAGGTTTCATTTGCAGGGTCTGTTACACACTATATACACTTTCTTTATAAAGTTTGCTTCCATATCTGGGATGTCAGTTGCAGTTGTTTCCTTTAATCAGGAAGAAAGTTCCAGCAGCGACTCCCAGCAGTCCAAGAGACAGACCCACTCCACAGAACACAGCTGGACCAACACCAGGCACTGCAACATCCACTTCTAGGAGACACACATAGAAACAATTTATGCATTTTTAATAATGTATAATTTTTCAATGTTATATCTCCTAGTGTCAATTTCGTTAACGAAATCTATGACTAAAACTTGACTAAAACTAAAACAGGACAGGTTGACTGACTAAATATGAAAATAAAACTAAAAGTTACATTCGACACAGGACTAAGACTAAATTAAAAATAGCTGACACTAATATCTCCACAATTTCTATTTCATTTTTGGCTGCTACTCTTTCACATCAATGATCAATTTTATTTTACTATATACATATTTGTAATAAATCATCTGTAGAAAACAATTGTGGAAAAATAAATAATAGAAATCAATAAGTCCAGTGATTCTATACAAAACACACACACACTCACCCCATGTTTTGGTCTGAGGTTGATCGAGAGCTACGTGGTTCACAGTGCAGCTGTAAATGTCTCCCTCATCAGGTGTGAACGTCAAACTGGAGAAGATGTTGTAAGTGCCGTCATCTTTTGGGCGATACTGACTTAGACTGTCCCCTGTCAAAATCTCATTGTTTTTAGTCCATGAGACTCTGACAGGTGGAGGAAAGAATCCACTCACATGACAGATGAGGACGTTCTCAACATCCAGCACCACGTCATCCTCAGCATAGATGGAAGTATGAGGTTTGTCTGTAAACACAGGCAGAGGCACGGATTCTGTTATTATTTCAAGCATTTGAGAGACAATTAAAAAAAAAAAAAGTGAAGTTGTTACTAATACACAGTTGTTATATAATTAAATGTAATTCAAATGCATAGCCTACCCATTTTCTCTTGTGGATTTTTATAAGCTTTGATAGCTACGGCTAAGTTTGCTTTGCAGGTTTCTACATTACCAACAGCACTCTGATAAAATCCATCATAGCCGAGGGGATCTGAAAAGTCAGGCTGAGTAATTACTCCTACTCCTTTAATGAAATCTGCATGCCACAGTTCCTCTCCATCCATTCCATACATATTTTCTTTCTCTGTATCAGAGCATCCATTCATATAAAAATCCTCATGAACAACTAAAACAAACAAACAAAAACAAGTATTAGCTTGATAAAACAATACATTATCATCTAGAGTAACATGAGAAAAGTAAATATCGAACGTTTCGAATATGAGATGTATTCATACCGTTTGCACATGCATGATTTTTGATAATGATTGGTAATTTTTTATTCATTATTCTTTTTCATTAAAAATTACTTGAGTATAAACTGTTCACAATTTTTGAAATGAGATTATTCTGTCTCAGCCTTGTCTAATTATAGAATATTATGCTATAATTCAAAAATCAAATATTATTACAGAATTATTATTATTTCATGCCCCAGTCATTTAACCCTTAAGGAAGTATACTACATATCAGTATTTCTTGAATACAGATAAACATGATGAAAATGGTGTCTTTTAATAACTAATGAGAATCCACTGGCTTACCTTTGTTCTCAGAAGAAACAAGTGCAGCAAGCATGAACATAAATACATAGAGCTCCATCTTTCTCAGATCTAAATGGGACAAACACTACACAAACTCTTTTCTTTGTTTGATGATAGCAGGTCTTTACTCCGCCTCATGGCTCATGTAGCAGCCTCATAATCCTCAACCAATCAAAATCATCCCTCGCTCTGATATTCTTGTATCTTGGCAAAACAATTTTTTTTCCTGTTTTACATTTACACAAGTAACCAGCTGCCACATATAGTTTACTTTATATGCATGACTTTTTAATATACAGTTGTAACATGTAGAATGAGTTGCCCCTGCTGATCAGGTCTGCCAAATCACTGTCAATTTTTTAAGAAACTGTTGAAAGCGCATCTAATGTTGGTAGCATACAATGATTGAAGTGGTGTTTTATGTTGTCGATGTTTGTTTTCATTCTTGTACTTTTTATGTAAAGCACTTTGGTTCAACCTCAGTTGTGTTTTAAATGGTGCTATATAAATAAACAAACAAGAAACGTATACATGTAAATGTACAACAACAGTATGCAGTAATGCATGGGTTACTTTTGAGGACAGGAACATTTTAATTAATCTGACTTGTGCATGTTTGTGTGCGTGGGAACAGAGATGAAACCTCAAAATAAGACAACTTAAAATGGTGTCCAGGATTTATTTGAAACAATACTAATCTGCCTAGAGTTTAGATGTCCTCTGTGGGTTTTCTCTGGGTGCTCTGGTTTCCCCCACTGTATAGGACTTACAGGACAGGTGAATTGGAGACTCGAAATTGCCTGTAGGAGTGTGAATATGTATTTTATGGACTGGCCATCTGTCTGAGATGCTGGGATAGGCTCCAGCATCTCCTTTACCATACATAGGACAAGATGTTTGGAGAATGGATAAATGAACTAACATCAACTCTAACTACAATAGTTTTTTTTTTTTTTTTTTTTTGAGTAACCTCTACACATTTTCAAACTGCAACATCATTTTAATGTAATCACCATAAATCACAACAAGTAAATTAATTAAATGTTACATTTCCTGCACGTTTCGCTTTTGTGTTTATAGTTTTAAAAAATGTATACATTTTCTTGTATCTTAGCTACCACAAAACCAATATTTTTCAGCAAAACCATTGGACAACACTGTAAGCCTTTAGGAAAACCTGAAATTATGTAAAGCTGCCACAGACCTTATTCATAACAGCACCATCTTTGATTTAGATTTTTGACATCTCGTCAGTGGGCTGTACTGTTAATTAATGTGTTTGCGGATTGTTCTGCTGACAAAAACTAAAAATATATCTTTCCAAGAAATTTCAGTAGACAAAAAACTCCAGACAACATGAGATGTTGAAAATTATAAATGATCTAGGAGCTTTACACAGCTTTGTAGAGTGGACACTATTAAAAACAAGGTAAGTCTATCCCTCACAGCCTCGCTTTCATATCTGTCATGGCGCTGCTCTGAATAAGGTCTGTTCTGTACATTTACTGTCATTTTAATTTGGACCTTTGGCCACTAGATGGCATTTTGAGTTTATGCCATTACATAATGAGTCATATTGCTTTTCTGTTCAAGTTAGTTATCATTTGTGCATATGTTTGATTTTGCTTTCATTTTTTTATTTACATTATTTTAGCACCACTGTTTCAATTGGGAGCTGAACGACTACTCTGTTTTTAGTGGTTTGAGAAAAAAAATGAATCTTGTGTTATCTGCCCCTGATCCCTGTGTATCTTTTCTCTGCATTTGGATGCAAACTCTGCAAGCCCACTTTGATTGTGTAGTGGACACTAACACAGTTGGGTGACACAAGAGCTGTGTGCAGATTTGAAGGCAGATGCCTTCATTTCTAATGATCTAAAATAAATTAAGGAACTTTAAGAATCATGCAAACATTAAATTACTATGACCCTTATGTCTCATTTATGAATTTACTGTTTTACTTGAAATACAGGCTACATCAAAAACTAAACAGATGATGGTATTTTTGTAGGCAGGATGTCATGCTAGATTCAGAGATCCCTTCCTGTTTTGAACATACATCTTATAATGCACCTAGACACATCATCAGCAATGTTACCTGGAGTCTAAGGGTGCCTCAGGTCTTTCAACAATCATACACCCTTGCCCAGGTGACCCAGGCGACCCGGGTGAGGTTAATCAAGCCCCGGCTTGTGTCCAGGTACTGCATCACTACCCCACCAACAGCTCTCCTCTCCTGATCTACGGCCACCTTGACACAACTTTTGCTGCCTCAGTGCCCAATACGTTGTAAGCCCTGCAGAGGGAATGGCCTGCAAACTCCTCTGCGCCCCACCTTGATGGGCTCATTTTTCAGGTTTTTGCACACAGCCAAGCTTGTCTAAACGGTAAGCCTCATTCAGTGAAACTTGAGATGTGCATTTTCTGCTATCAATCAGTTCACCGGGAATGTCTATGCACCATAAAGAAAGTAATGAGTGAATTCAAGATATTTGTATTTTCACATTGGGTAACATTTAAATGTTTCAGTGCGACTGGTAATGGTCTTATTCCCAAATCAACAAAAAAGTAAGGAATAATTGACTCTGGGCCATTGAATTATTAGAAAAATAATGCAGTATCCCTATCCCTGAGGTGGTGATGTGGCCATGGCACGTAGCGCACCTCAAGTGTGCATTATTTTTTCTAATAATTCAACGGCCCAGAGTCAATTATTCTGCTTATACTACAGTTACCACACCTCAAGACACTGTTCAGATGTTTTATTCCGGACATTTGTCACGTCCTTAAATGCTCTTGGGTGTAGGACTAATTCCTTAAGCATTTTATCTAGCCTCCGTTGCTAATTCCAAAACATCATTTTAGAGCTAGTAATGGAGGCTTTCACTTTTTATTCTATTGTTTGTAATATTTAGTTGCTTTGGTCAGTGTTTTTGTGATTTTTTTTCTTTTTTGCTGTTGAAGGCTAATTTGGTGAAGTGATAAGGAACTGCAATGCAGTCAAAACCTGGAACTACTTTAGCTGTGCGTTTCCTGAAAAATAATTGCACACCTTAGAACATTTGTCATATATATATATATATATATATATATATATATAAAATATATTTGAGAAATTAGAACAAACTCTGCCTTCTGAAGGGGTGGTGTTTTCTGGGAGGACAAAGCTGGCCAAAAAATGGGTGCCATGATGACTAACAGAGTTACACCTCAGCCCTCGATGACCACTGTAGTAATCCAGGATAATGCAGGATCCCCAGTAGCTGCACAAACAACTTGATCAGTAACAATTTACTTCAGCTATAAGTGTTAAATTTACAATTGCCACAACTCAAAGTCAGAGCTTAGAGAAATTCATATCCCACTGGTCATTATGACAAGTAGTGTTCATGTGCATTCAGCTCATAAATAAGATTGCTCTGACATGAATGGAATGCACAATAGTTGTCATTACAAAACGGATAGTTACAGTTGCAGCTACTGATTGGTATATTAGTATTACTATACTATACATATTACTATATTTACTTTATTCAGTGTACAATTCTCATTGTGGATCAATATTTTTGTGGCATAGTGTATACCATTAACAAATTAATTAAAAAAAATTAAGAAATGTTACAGTTTTATACAAATGTGTGATGTAAATGTAAAATCTTAAATGTATAAAAAGAATTCTCTTTTTGGGAAACCCTGTGTTAAAAAAAAATGTGTGGAACAAATGTCATAATTGTATTGTAAATTACAGTAATATTAATGTTTATAATTTGTTGAGTATAATAATAACAATAAGCTATGTAAATATTACTGAAGCTTTAAAACTGATAAAAAATAAATGTTTTTAAACTTAAACATGCAGATGTGCCATTAAATTATTGAAATATTTACTTAAAATCTTAGGGGGTACTAATTATTAAGTAAATAATTTAGGTCAAAGGGGTTCGGCTGACAAAAAAGTTTGAAAACCCCTGTTCTAGCGGAAGAATCTAATGATCTAAAAATACATTTTTAATGAAATTTTGTGTTGTTAATATTTTTTTAAATAGTAACCACTTCATAAAAGCAATAAAATTACAAATATGGTATTCAGTCTTCAGGGTTTTTTATGATAAAATAGTCCATCAAACCCATTCAAGTAAATATTTCTTCATTCACTACAATTTCTTAATTGTACTAAATGACATAGGCCTTTTTAAGCCAATCACTGACAATAGCTCACATATGCACAAAGGTGATAACTGATCTTTAGTTCCTTCTAAAAAAAAAAAAAAAACACATTTCAGATGCTGCAACATCACCTGTTTCCAGGGTAAAGTATGATTGAAATGATAAAAGCTCAAGATCCGAAATAATTTACAAACCTGTCTTTTAGAATGTTTCAGGTTATTTATAAGTTAGTTTAAACATTGTTATTGTTGTTGTTTTAAATCTTAAATACATAAATTGAAAGTTAGTATTCTGAAAAGTAACTCAAAGCATGCTGAGATGCCAAGAGTTTGTTTTTAAATGATGTTTTATTAAGAAAGTTCAAGAGGAACACATTCAAATGATCTACCCAATCAGCATGAGAGGAGGCTGATATATAAATAGCCGACTCACCTATGTTCCTCAACAGTTTTTCTGCATTGGACCTGCCCAATTGTCACTATGTCCGAGACTGAACTCTTCCCATCTGATGACGAGTCCCTCTTTTCTCTGGATCCTCCGCCGCATTCTGTCGGCCAAAGGAGTACTCGCTTTCTGTCTGACACCGCAGTTGAGCCTCCAGTGGATGTCGGCTCGTCCGATATTCTCCCCATACACCAAGATGCTGAGGCCTACCCTCGCCCCCACCAACAAGACAACTGCCATCCTATTCATGGTCTTCTCACACCTTGGCCCATCCAACAATCCCTATAATAGAGAAACGGACAGTGTTAGGATTGTGGCAGGCACTGATCAGTGCAGATGTCCATTTCTGGACAGCATCAAGTATATAGTATCAAGTAAAATCCTTTTCCGCTATTAAGGTACAAGTGGCCATCACTACCCTGAAGGGTACCATTTTTTACCAAAATCACAAATAGGAATGTAAGAGTAACTTCAGTCGTAACCACTTTAGTCTCT